TGATCCTCAAAAATTTAAATGCAATGTAAATCATTATCTTCTGTGTTCTTAACTCTTGTTCTTTTATTGTCTTCTCTCCTTAATAGAATATTTTTCTCACATTGTCTAACACTCGGTAAACCTTTGCATCTTAGTGGCTTTATTGCCTTGTCTGGAGTGAAATGACTTAAAATAAAAAGAAAAAAAAAGCTACTATAAACAAGTTAAAAATAATCTTTATATAAGATTATTCCAGAAGCCTTCCGTTCTGTGATAAAGAAATTTTAAAAACCTTAATTGGTGGAAGTAATTCTTTTGTCTAATACTTCTAGAAATAAAACTATAACCATATAAAAAAAATTGTGGGAAACATTTTTTTTCTATTAAAAAAAGAAAATACTTTATTGCAGTAACAAAAAGTTACTGTTACATTAGGTGTATGTAAAAATTCCAAAAATGCCTTTTCCGATATCCAGAAGTTTCCAGAGCTGGAGGTGGGACCCTCAAATACAGGCACAGAGACTGCCCACCTAATTTTCAGCTGTAAATAATATTTCTGATTCCCATCACTATTTCTTTACACTTTATCTTTATTGACTGAATAGATGCTGACGGTCGGTGAGTTTTTTGGTCAACTTCAAGAATGAAAAAAAAAAATAAAAAAAATAAAAAAAAATTTAAAAACCACAAACCAAGGGACGTAAATCTTCCTTATTACTAATAGCTCACTGATTACAAAAAAATATTTTAAATATTTTTTCTAACGTTGATATTTACAGATCCAAATCAATCATTGGTGCGTGTATATATATCTTACTGTCAAAATACGATTATAGGCAGTTGTAACAATTCCGATGGACACTTGTTGCCAACCAAGACAACAAAATAAATAACAGAAAAACTTACGATAATCGTATAACAAGGGACGTAACTCTTCATTATATGGATCTCAGATAGCCATTCAAGTGATTTCACTGACAAACAATCTTAAGCTTTTTTTTGGTTGATTGATTCGTTTTCTACAGATTATCAACCTTTTGCAGGTTATTTAAAGCCAGAAAATATTTTTACACTATAGGAAATTTTTTTTTTTTTGAGGAGATAATGATTTTAGTGATACAAGACTTAAAAATTAACACATGGCAGGGGTGGAGAAGAGGACACATGCCTACTCAGAATTTTATGAACAAACAAGAAATTATAATATGGATATAAAGTGGGGGATTAATTTTGTATTACAATCAATATATAAACTGATCCCTCATTTTGTTATCGCGATGACTTCCATATATTTTAATTTTAGAAAATGTAAAAAAAAATCTAAGACATGTCTGTTTTGCTAATCAGTATATGATCAAATGATTGATTCTTTTTTACAGCTTAACCCCTTGTAGGTTATTTAAAGCCAGAAAATATTTTTAGATTGTAAGCGTTTAGTGGTGGGGGAAGATAAAATGGTTTAGTGATACAAATCTTACTAATAGTTGAGAGAGAACTGGATTCATGCCTTTCCCAAAGGTATATTTGCAATTAAGTGAATATAATAAAACCAAATGGAATTTGAACTCTGTTTTTCAATTATCAATTCTGATCCATTATCCATTACACCACTTGTACATCCAAGCTTACAGCACCAGGTATTCCCAAGCAGTTACACATCTACCAGACTCAACAATGCTTAACTTTGGTGATCGTATGATAACAGCAGTTTTAATGTGATATGGCTATAAACCAATTACACTTTTTTAAACATTGATATTTCTAAAAGGTTATCCAAATCAATCACTAAGTCAATAATATAGTTTTTTTTTTTTTAATTTTATTTTTTTATTCAGAATCCTATTTATTCAGTCTTTATACAGTACATGGCGGTTGAATCCTCAGTCGAAACACGTTTAAAACAATGAAAATAAAATATGTTAAAATGTATGGAATAATGAAAACAAAACTAAGTTACTATCCTCTTGATTACACTTCTATTGATCTTACTTTTATGCTTTTTTTTTTTTTCTTCCATGTGCAGTATCTTCTGTCTTAGTGGCTTTACTGCCTTACAACAGGTGGTGTGATAAAAAAAAAAATTGTTCAATAAAATTTCTCGAATAAAGATGCATAATATGGAACAAATGCAATAGAAAAATTAGTTAAATATGGCTGTTCATTTTGTGACGGTACGAGTTACCTTTCCTTGGACATTTTTTTTTTTTAATTAGCTAACTAAAAATTTTCTGCCATGATAAAAAAAAGCCCCAGACTCGATAAAAACAAAGTTTTATCATTGAAATCTTGGTTATTATTAAGAAGAAAGACCAAAATATTTTTTTTTATTATTCTATTAAATCTTTTAATCCTTTCTAGCACATTCGAAATTTTGGTTAAAAATCTTGTTTTTCTTGCATCAACGGTGGGTCAAAGATTACTATGGGAAATTTAGCATCTTTTTTGTTTTGAAAATTCTCGAACAAAAAAAATCAAATTTTGGGATTTTAATGAAATTTTCAGGACTTCTTCACAAATTAATTAAATTATTTTTCTTTTTTTTTTTTTTTTTTTTTTAAATATCTGTTACCCCCACTTGCATAATTTAATGAAATTTTGAGAAATTAAAACTTCAGCCTCTTCATATTTATATTAGTTAAAGACAGGACTCTGGAGAATTTAAATCATCAATTTGTTTTTATCAAACAAAAACACTATTTACAGAAAATGTAACCAATGCATCTGAAAAAATTTATTTAAATATGGCCATCTTTTTTCTGGCAGTACAGCTTTATGATTTAAAAAGCAGAATTCTTTCTCACAAGTCACAGCAAGTTACATATTTACAACAAAGTTTTTAATAGGTAAAAGATGTATATCATTCAATTAATGTAGATTTTCGTTATTCAGTTCATCACAAATGAAAACTAGTACAAGTCTACAGCAATATTGATGAATACTGGACTATTATGGCATCAGCAATGAGTCAGACTATATCATAGCATATGCATCTGGTATCAGTTTAAACTGACAGCTCCCCCCATATATTGTTACCATTTTGATAAAAGATTGCATTTTCTTGATTTCAGATGAAAACTGAAAATTTCCAACATATTTTATTTTTTGACAGTTTATCAACCCTTCTGCAGGTTATTTAAGGCCAGAAAATATTTTAGATTGCAAGAATTGTTTTGGGGATAAAATTCTTTATTGTTAAATTATTAAACTGCAAAGTTTTTGTCAAAGTATTTTTCCAAACAAATAAGCTTATTCAAATTTCATCAATAGGTTTGCATAAATGAATGAAATGTAGAGTTTGTAAATCTTGACAAAAATTTTAGCAATAACTGCAACAATATTAAATATTGTGATGCTTTCAACACACATCTGTGTTTTGTAAAAAAAAAAAAAAAAAAAAAAAAAAAAATTATAGTTTATAGAAATTATTGAATTTATGTTCCTTTTAATCTAGGCTTTCTGTGGCTATAAATAACTTCATAGATAAATCCATCACTACCCCCCTCTCAACTCACACTAATATTGTCTAATTCACTCATTTAGTTTATTTATTCCACATCGATAGAGGAAGAAATCCTCGTATGCTGACACCTTTTTCTGTCCGGAATCATGTGCAAATGTATGTATTAACAAGTGCGTTTACTATTGGAGGAATTGTAGCAGTAAGTTAGCTTAAACCATAGTTAACACGACCGATGTAGCGTTAATTAACAGGTTTACAAGAAACCTAATGATAAATGTTGCTGATCTTCCATTACAAGATACAGTTTTGATAACAAGGGGAGATAAATACTGCCCTTTTACCATATATATATATATATATATATATATTTAATGAAAAACAGACACTTTAAGGTACCATTACAATAATTTATTTCACCAAAATCCAAAATCAATTGTTGGAAGTGTTACCTGATGATCCGAAATCCTTTAAAAAGGATTTTGGTGAAATAAATTATTGTAATGGTACCTTAAAGTGGTCTGTTTTTCATTAAATATTAGCTCTGTTCTTCACATTGAGTTCTCAGGATTTCATCCTCCTTGGATTTACCAATTCGGTTTACCAAGTTCTTTTATTCTTATTTATATATATATATATATATATATATATATATATATATATATATATATATATATATATATATACAATTCTGACTTTCGTCCATCCAACACTAAAATAGCCATACATTGATCAATTGAAACCAAATTCTGAGGAGATGTGCAAACAGGTAAGTGGGTACACTAAGTATAGTTGGTTTTACTTGGGTGAATAGCTTAATACAATAAATTTTCATTCAATTTTGTTTTTTTTTCAAATGAATGAAAATTTGAATATACAATTCATCTGCGAAATTGAACAAAACGTAAAGTTTGTAAAGCCTGACAAAAAGTCTTAGCAGTAACTTCAACAATACTAAATGTTGTGTGGATTTCAACACACATCAGTGTGTTGCAAAAAAATTCTAGTATAGAAAAAAAGAAGGCATCACTTTAAACTGATGACAGGAGGATATGATTTGAACAAATTGTATTAAGTTCAACTGGCAAGGTTTGCTTGTTTAATATTTTTTATTGTATTTTTCTGAATTTTTGAATATGTTATTGCATATCCAGATCAAAATTATAGGCAAACTGTCCAAATGAAAACAATCTTTGAAAGGTTTATACACAATTTTAATCCACAATTGCTCAGACTAAAATTTTTATATCCTGCCAAGTTTTACATGAAAGGGATAGAAATAATAATTTTTTTTAAAACTATTTTCAACAGAAAAAACTCACAACCTGTGGGCTTTTCATTCAATAATGTAAGTGACTACTTTCATTTATAGAACTAGTTCTTTTAATGTTTTGATTGCACAAGAGATATGTTCTGTAATATATATATATCTATGAAAATTTCTCGGACATTCAGGCCGGTAAATGTTATTTAATACTGTTTATTATAAACAGAGCATTTACTTAAATACTTGTATCTATAAAAAGAATGTTATATATATATATATAAATGTAAATTAACTTACCTTTCTGAGTAACTGAGAAATAACTTTAATCTGCTGTCCTCTTGACAACAGATATGGCAGAGGGACACCAGTGACCCTGGCCATTTCCATGTAATTGATAATACACATTAATTTCTCCAAGAGACGAAGAGGCAATATGGCATCTTTCATGCAGTAGATAGCAAGACGGCGACGAGTTTGATCATTTCCATTCTGAGGCGGGGAAAAAAAAAAAGAAAGAATATTTCAGAATTTAACAAAGTAGGGGATGCAGAAAGTGGAATTTTGTCTTTGTTGCGTGCATTCACTTTCCCAGCAATGCCCTTGGGAAAGGCATGAGATCACACCTTCCTGATTATAGTAGAAGCCAGTCTAAGAGGAGACAACTCTGAATTCCAAACCATGGAGAAGGAAACAGAAAAGAAGTTATTGCAATTCACATATATTGAACAAAGCTGTCAAAAGCATTAAAAAAAAAAAAAAAAAAGGTAAGCGGGCAGATTTTCATAACAAAAATGGTTGGATTGCTAAATACACAGTATAAACAATGATGCAATTAGGTAGACAGAACTATTTGCATGCACTCATTGAGCTTGCATGAAGTCACAAGTCATCGTGACTGAGGGTTTGAGCATGCTGACCTTGTTCAGGTTGTTTATTATGCCAAATGGCGTGCTCTCTCCAAGAAAATGTAAGTAAGGTCTGCTCAGCATAGTTACAGTATAAACCATAGATGGGTTCTGTGGCTGTTAAACAAACACAAATGTGCCTGAGCAGGCGTCTGCAATAGGGATTGGCTCGCCGCCCTAGCAGACAAGAATACTTGGATATAAGCAACCAGACATTACCATTACTGCAAGTAAAATAATGAAGTTATTTAAGAAAGTCTCCTCATGGACAATTTTTTTTTTTTTTTTTTTAAATTTGTCCAAACTCTCATTTTTTTCAAGAGTAGTGTTATTAAGAATTTCTGTTTTTAGGTGAAACATCTAACTTATTATAAAATGCAGATTGTGTGTGTGTGAGTGTACGTTTATATATTGGATCGGATTTCCTACATTTTTCAACCGATTTCAACAAAACTTCACGGGACTACGTAAAATTACCTTGCGGTGGTTCTGACAGTGCCAAAAATTGGAAAAACACAATTGTTTTTGCACAAAATCAATTTGAAAACACAATTAAGAGGCATCACGTGAATGAAAAGGGGACAACTCATATCGAGTTATACTTATTATAAAACCCAGGTTGTGTGTGTGTGTCTGTGTTCATTTATATATGGGATCGGATTTCCTACATTTTTCAACCGATTTCAACAAAACTTCACTTTTTTTTTTTGGCAGTGTTTCTTATTGTCTTGCACACTTTTTTCTTTATTTTTACTTTCAGAATGCTTTAAAAATTCTATTTACAAGACTATTGTTTATAATAAAATTCTATTCAATCGGTAGGCTCATAACGATTGAAAACAATGTTTTTGTTTGAGTTTGACCAATTCGTAAAAAAAACTAATTAAGACATGCATGTCCGTCAGCCGTAAACAATAATCTTTGTCAATTTTATTTTTCAGTCTTTATGATGGTCAATACTTGATCTATCTCTTACATCCCCGGGCAACGCCAGGCTCTACTGCTAGTTGTTAATAATAATGCATGTTTTTGTTATTTTTATTATTATTAATAAGAGGGCATGTTTAACTAATTTGTCTAACTCATGATCAGTACATTAAAACACCCTTTTCCATACTTGCGGACATTAGGGGAGCTGCTTTGAAGTTCTCAATACTGGTAGCAACAATGCTATCAGGGATAGAGAAATCATAGATTTGAAATTACAGTCCATTGTTGATGTAATATAGTATAACATGCTGTCCCACTATATTACATTCACTGGCAAGGAGATGGCAAAATTAAATGCAGAACTTACCTGAAGATCAGTAATAATGGAATGCTGGACATCCTCCTTTTGTTCTTGAAGAAAGTGAAAAGAAACGGCATTCAGCGTGTATGATCGAAGCTTGTAATCACGGAACAGAACCTGGCAAGCAAGAAAAACAGTTTTAAAATCAGAGAATATCTATTCCTCCTACTTCGACTGATTTGAGGTGTTATCATCTTCTGCTGATAAAGCTGAATGCTTTGCCCATAAATTCTCCTCAAACTCTACTCTTGACTCATCTGGAGAATTCCTGCCTGACTTCCCACTTAGAACTAATTCTCTATTGAGTGAAATGTATATAACACTTTCCATGGTTTCTGCTCTCATCTCTAACTTTGATCCCAACAAAGCCTTACAGGGCATCCCTGTGATAATCATTAAGAAATATCTCCTGACCTAGCTCCTGTTCTTGCTAAACTGTAAAATAAATGCCTCGATATCACCTGCTTTCCTATTTGCTGGAAGTCATCATCCGTTATTCCAGTTTTTAAGAACTCTGGTGAACCACCCAACTCAATCAATGAACTTTCACCCAAAATTATCATTGGTACACTTATTACATCAAACTATTCCCAAAACAACAACAAATGAGAGGGAGACAACTGATAGGAAGAAGGAGGAAAAAAAAAAGAGCAAGACAACTGATAGGAAGAAGGAGGAAAAAAAAAAGAGAGCAAGACAACTGATAGGAAGAAGGAGGAAAAAAAAAAAAGAGCAAGACAACTGATAGGAAGAAGGAGGAAAAAAAAGAGCAAGACAACTGATAGGAAGAAGGAAAAAAAAAAAAGAAACAAGACAACTGATAGGAAGAAGGAGGAAAAAAAAAAAAGAGCAAGACAACTGATAGGAAGAAGGAGGAAAAAAAAAAAGAGAGCAAGACAACTGATAGGAAGAAGGAGGAAAAAAAAAAAGAGAGCAAGACAACTGGCAGAAAGGGGGAAAGAGATAGAGAGAGACAACCGGCAGAAAGGGGGAAAGAGATAGAGAGAGACAACCGGCAGAAAGGGGGAAAGAGATAGAGAGAGACAACCGGCAGAAAGGGGGAAAGAGATAGAGAGAGACAACCGGCAGAAAGGGGGAAAGAGATAGAGAGAGACAACCGGCAGAAAGGGGGAAAGAGATAGAGAGAGACAACCGCAGAAAAATCAACAAAAAAAAGATAGAGAGAGACAACCGGCAGAAAGGGGGAAAGAGATAGAGAGAGACAACCGGCAGAAAGGGGGAAAGAGATAGAGAGAGACAACCGGCAGAAAGGGGGGAAAGAAAATAGAGAGAATAAACCGCATATGAAAGGGGGAAAGAGATAGAGAGAGACAACTCAGAAAGAAAGGGGGAAAGAGATAGAGAGAGAGACAACCGCAGAAAGGGGAAAGAGATAGAGAGAGACAACCGCAGAAAGGGGGGGAAAGAGATTTGAGAGAGACAACCGGATAGAAAGGGGAAAGAGATAGAGAGAGACAACCGCAGAAAGGGGGAATATAGAGAGAGAGACAACCGCAGAAAGGGGAAAGAGATAGAGAGAGAGACAACCGCAGAAAGGGGAAAGAGATAGAGAGAGACAACCGCAGAAAGGGGGGAAAGAGAGGTTGAGAAACCGCAGAAAGGGGGAAAGAGATAGAGAGAGACAAGAGAGAAAGGGGGAAAGAGATAGAGAGAGAAGAAACCAGCAGAAGAAGAGGGGGGGAGGAGATAGAGAGAGACAACCAGCAGGAAGGAGGGGAGAGAGAGACACACAATTGGCAGAAAGATGGGGAGGAGTGAGACAACCAGCAGGGAAGAAGGGGAGGAGAGGCAACCAGCAGGAAAAAAAAAAAAAAAAAAAAAAAAAAAAAAGAGGAGAGACAACTGACAGGAAAGAGGAAAAAAAGAGCAATCAGCAAGAAGGAAAAAGAAACTCTCTCCTTTCAAACTAGACATAGCACATATCACTTTGGAAAATTTTCTAAAATACCAAAAGTCTGTTTGCAAACCCACAGTGACTATCTGCCATCAATAATCACGGCATAGCAATAACAAGACCTATGTGAAGGCACTTGATGATAACTCTAAACTTACCTGGAGCAAATCAAACATGACCCGTCCTTCCAGGTTGACGATTTTGTTTTCACGTTTACCCATCTGTTTGCTTTGAATTGTCGATTCTTTGACCACAGATTTAATGTGCCTAATACGACCAAGGAAAGGAAAATTGGTCACCTTCAGATGGCTGGCTCTATTAAGCAGATAAGGGAAGTCAAAGTTTTGAATATTGTACCCTGTGATGATGTCAGGGTCAACTGCTTTCCCGAACAAAGTGTGACCAATGCTGCAAATGAAAAAAAAAAAAAAAAAAAAAAAAAAAAAAAAATTTTAGAAACAAAGAAATGGTCGGTAGTTGAATGAAGAAAAACAAAAACACAAGAAAACAAGAAAAAAAAAAAACAAAAAAAGAAAAAAAAAAAAAAAAAAAAAAAAAAAAAAAAAAAAAAAAAAAAAAAAAAGAAAAAAAACACAAGAAAAGAAAAAAAAAACACAAGAAAAAAACCTTTTAAACTCCTCCAATATTCTAATGCTCATTGGATTTGGATTCACAAAATTAGAAAAAAAATTTTTTTTAATCATTTCACCCCATGCAAGGCAGTAAAGCCACCAAGACACAAAGAGTAAAAGAATAAGAACAACAGAAGAGTTATCAAGAAGACAGTTGATAATGATTGACATTGCATTTAAATTTTTGAAGATCAATGTTGGCTGGGAAGCATGGAGCCAGAAGAGAGTTCCAAAAGTACAAGAAAAAAAACCTGTTGGTATAGAACTTATGGTAACATCCAACCAATTCTACTATAAAACAATGAGATCTTACCACCAAGTGTGTAAATTTCTCTCGCGAGTAGTTTGTAATGTCCTATTTATCATCTCTCAGTTGCGTCTGGGTCTTTGGACAAAGTGTACTCAGGGGCGGCTCCGTCAAAGGGCAGAGTTGCAACTGAGGAAAATTATACTGAGAGGTGTCAACCCTGGGGAACAGCTGCCTGAGGATGTGCCTTCTCATTGCACTAGTGAGCATGTTCATTGCATGCACTGAAGCGGGGGTTCAGAGATTTTTTGTTCCTGCCCAGGTGTACGCGTTCAAGCTCCCCACATTAAACTGACCTTGTGTCATAACCTGACCCCGTGAGGGGTTGAGTAAAGAAAAAAAAGAAAAAGAGATCTTCCCACCAATCTAGTACTGTGGTTAAATTCATAAAGTCTAGGTACCATAACAAAAATTTCATCAGAACAATTCCCATGAAAGTATTTATAGAAAAGACACAGGGACACTAAATTACAGTGGTGGCAAAGTGACTGAAGTCAGGGCAAGACCAATAATATTGCCAATTCTTCTTTGGATTTTATCCAGAGCTGTGGAGTTGAAACAAAACCTCCAACTCTGACTCCATTATTTTTGACACCTCTGATGCCTCTTTATGTAATTAAGTGATTATAGCCTACAAATCTCATAGATCTTGATATACACTTAAAAAAGTGTAGAGAGCACAATGGCCAAAAAGTTGTGACAACTACAAAGATGAGGACAACAGTCCAAATATAAATAATAATAACTCCTCATCCCAGACATTAAGACAATTTTCATTATTACTGAATTAAAAAACAAAAATAAAAAAAAAAATTACATAAAATCATTAACAAAAATTGGTGGTCTTTAACCAAACCCATACATGAAGAGAACAATAGTTTAAATAAACCCACATATAATAATACCTGATCTCTAAAATAAACATTAAATTAAAAGGGGAATAAATGTTGGCAAAGAAATTTCTTTTACCCAATACCTTGAGAAGTTCCTGTTCAGTATCAAAGGAGAGGACCTGGGCTCCTACGACTGGTGCACATTTCTTTAACGTGAAAACATTACGCACAAAAGGATCTGATTTGCCTTGTTTCACAACCATATTGGCAATTTGAATCACAGGATCCTTGTTTGGTTCTGGAAAAATACCTGGAGACAAGCAGAAAAACAGAGAAATCATTAGCATTCACTAAGAAATAGCATTTGTAATATAAAAACTGTTACATTTAATTTGCATAATTTTAAAACGTGTCTTAATAAACTTTTTATTTCTTTTTTTTTTTTTTTTTTTTAATCGATTCACCCCAAGCAAGGCGGGAAGCCACTAGCACATAAGGGGTTACAGAAGATTTGGAGTGATAGAGGAAAGGATGAGGAAAAGAGGAGAAGGATAGTGGATAGATCAAGGCATCTGGAGACGTCAATTGACATTACATTTGAATAGTTGGAGATTATAGCTGTCAGAGAAACAGGAATAGGGAAGGGAGTTCCACAGGCGAGAGGTGCGAGATATGAAGCTATTGGAGTAGAAGAGGCGGCTACATTTAACAGTTTCAATAGTGAAAGGGTGAGAGCGGGATGCCAATCTCATAGGACACTTGAATTCATGAAGTCTGGGAACCAGCGAAAGCAGCTCATCATAGCAATTACCATGAAAGTATTTGTAAAAAAGACAGAGAGAAACGACGACGTGTCTGTGAGAGAGCGACTGCAGACAAGATGCCAGATCAGGGCCAATTACATCTCTGGATCTTATCAAGAACCCCGAGGCAAACAGAAGGGGCTCCAGACCATATATGGCAGCAATACTCCATGCAAGAGCGAATGGTTGATTTGTAGATTTGAAGGATTGATTCCAGGGAGAAAAATTACCTGGCACGGCACAGGGAGCCAACTTTCCTTGGGGTGGACAAAGCAATTGACTCAATGTATTTGTTCCATCTCAGGTCAGTAGTCAACATAAAACCGAGCAGCCGCAGAGAGTTGCTCTCAAGAAGTTGAGCTTCAGACAGTCTAATGGGGGACAGGGAAGGTTCTCTGTGGTGATTAATGGAGAGCAGTTTTGTTTTTGAGGCGTGAAAGTTAACCAGCCAATTCCTGCCCCAGTTCAGAATCGATTGGAGGTCCTTTGCAAGATGAACGACCAGGTTAGTTTTGTCAACAACACTAGATTTGTTTTTGAGGCAGGAATTTTTAAAAATTGTCTCAAACATACACATATTATATATATATATATATATATATATATATATATTACTTATTATAAAACGCAAATTGTGTGTGTGTGTGTGTGTGTAACGTTTATATATTGGATCAGATTTCCTACATTTTTCAACCGATTTCAACAAATCTTCACAGGACTACATAAAAATACCTTGTAGTGGTTCTAACAGCACCAAAAATGGGAAAAATACAATTGTTTTTGCACAAAATCAATTTGAAAACACGATTAAGAGACATCGTGAGAATGAAAGGGGGACAACTCACATCGGGTTGTTTGTGTGTGTAGGTTCCTTTAAATATGGGATCGGATTTCCTACATTTTTCAACCGATAAAACAAAAATTCACTTTTTTTTTTTTTTTTGGTAGTGTTTCTTATTCTCTTGCACACTTTTTTCTTTATTTTTAATATTCAGAATGCTTTAAAAATTCCATTTCCAAGACGATTGTTTATAATAAAATTCTATTCAATCGGTAGACTCATAACGATTGAAAACAATGTTTTTGTTTGAGTTTGACCAATTCGTAAAAAAAAAAAAAAAAAAAAAAACAAAAAACAAATTAAGACATGCGTGTCCGTCAACCTTAAACAATAATCTTTGTCAATTTTATTTTTCAGTCTTTATGATGGTGGATACTTGATCTATCTCTTACTGTTACATGCCCGGCAACGCTGGCTCTACTGCTAGTAGATAATATATATATATATATATATATATATATATATATATATATATATATATATATATATATAAAAAGCAATGTTTTTGTCAAACCTTATTAAAATTCAGTTGTAAATTAGATCTGGCATTTCACATTGCTAAGAAAATTAGTTGAATGGAGCCCCCCAAAAAATTATGAAATTATCTAAATAATAATAGGAGTGGAGAGATTTGCCTAACATCTGGTTCATATGCCTTTAGGAGAAATTGGTGTTTCCTGTGTAACAATACGATTTCTCATCCATCCTTAAGAGATAAATAGATAGATAGATAGATTCTTTTTCCTTTTAATTTAATTACCAGAGTTTTCAGGATTCCTGTCTCCAGCCTATTTGGCAAACATAAAATTTTGTTAGTGATTTTAGATAATCATAAAAGTAGAGTGCTTTGAAAAACTGACCACCCATCCAGCTTTTGGGTCGTCTCCTGGGACAACGGTAGATGGATAGGGGTGGTGTCCATATAAAAAGTGGTCAGTCAGGAGCAGTCAGAGAGTGAGAAAAGGACCCTCAGGCAGTGAGGAGTCAGAATCACATAGTAAATTAGTGAATGTAAAGGTGCTTTTTCCGTGGCCAGAGTTAGTAAGATAGCAGTTCAAAGCCAAAGGAAAACAATACCAGGGTTCAGTGAGAAATTGTATTAGTTGCTATTTCCCAATCAGAGTGTCTTGAAAAATACTTGTTATTCTTTGTTGAATTCAATCACAGTCAAGGAGACAAACCTGTGAACATAGCTAGCCGAGTGTATACACACATACAACCAACCTTGGATGCCATTACAGTTGTGCAGTGAATGACATGCGAAACTAGTCGTCACACCTATTTAGGATTGGGTTCTTGGATTCTAAAAATGGGGTTCTAAAATCTTTTTCATTCTCTTTCACCACCAGTAACTCCTTGCATCTTAGTGGCATTATCACCTTGGGGTGGATTAAAAAAAAAAAAAAAAAAAAAATTTTTTTTTTTAATGTTTTGTCTGTGCTCGGCCTTTCCAAGCTTCCAATTTGAAAAAAAACATGCACACTTGTATAATTTTTCAAAATTTTTAGAAAACTAATGATGGTATTCACAGAAGTATCTGCATATTTATATTATTTTTCTTATAAAATTATGAACTTGTTTTCATCGTTATTTATAAAATGATAAATAGTAAATATAGAAATAACTATTGTTCTCTTCACGTATAGGTTTGGTTAAAGACCACCAATATTTGTTAATGATTTTATAATATTTTTTTTATTTTTGTTTTTTAATTCAGTAATAATGAAAATTATTGTCTGAAAGTCTGGGATGAGGAGTTATTTATATTTGGATGGTTTACATATTTTGATGATTTTGTAATTACTTTTGAATAAAAAGATTTTTTAAATTGATTTCTTTAGAAAATGTTAAATAATACTGTACTGTATTTGGTTCACATATTTTTTATAATTGTGTAAATAAAAATTGTTGAGGGAATAACAACAGTCTTTTTGACACACTTTTTTTTTCTTTTTGCAGGCACCAAGTTTGCTTTGTGTGTTTTGTGGCATATCAACATCTCAATGGGTTATTTAATGCCAACAAGATTTTTTATTGCAAGTAATATTTTTTCCAAGAATGTATTGCTGGTAATATTCTTACAAAAATGTATTGCTGGTAATATTCTTACAAAAATGTATTGCTGGTAATATTCTTACAAAAATGTATTGCTGGTAATATTCTTACAAAAATGTATTGCTGGTATTAAAACCTATTTTTACACTTTCATAGTGTTTTGACATCAGTTTAGAGGTTAACTTTTGCCTATAGTTGGGATCCTAACAGGTGCTACCACCCCAGGTAAGGGTGAACCTGGGAACACCAGCAATTAAGAGATGGTTCCATACTCCTCAAAGCCTCCTGACCAGAAGCCATGCTGTTGAATGTAGTTTATCGTCTTACCCAGGATGCTGATATAGTTTATCATCATACCCAGGATGGACCAAGGTTGGTTATTTTTGTTTTACAGCATATCAACCTCTGTGGGTTATTAATGCTGAAATCTAAATAATATTTTGAATGCCATTTTATGGCTTCAGATATTTTGTTATATTTTACACTTTTAGGGTAGATGTATATTTTTTAGATGTATAGTTTGTAAAAAAAAATATAAAAATGATAAAAAAGAATTGTTGGTAATTTTTTTTTTAAATGTATCACTGGTAATTATCTATATATAAAATTCTGTGACTTCTGTTAGTCCATCCATCACACCCTCAAAAATAGTCATACATTGACTGAATGAAACCATATTTTGGAGAGAAGTGTAAACAGGTACGGAGGTACAAAGTACAGTAGGTTTTACTAGGTGCATAGCTTAGTACAATAAATTTTCATTAACTTTCTTGGAAAAATAAGAAGTTTTATTATTTAACATACAAAATACTCCCATTATTTTAACCTTTACCGCACTGCTGGTGACAATAGTCACCATAGAATTCTCTCCCTTGGCTACTCTAGGCGCATTCTGTCACCTTGAGACGGTTGCTATAAACACTTGGCAACTATTATTTCCAGTATTTTAGGCTGAAAATCACCTACTACTGCTTTAGAAGGTTAAACTTCAGTTTTCCAACACCATTTTGAATTCTTCTAGACTCTACACAAGATGTAACACCGATTAAACCCACGTTAATTTTTGTCACAATTTTTTGTAAACAAAAATGGCTGCATCAATATCCAACAACGCCTTGATTCAGGAGTTTTTCTTTAATTAGTAGTCCAAAGATGATTTTGAAGCCTTTAGTTGAGTGGATATTGACAGTGAAGTAGCCAAAGATGATAAGCACACTTGTGATGCGGAGAGAAAGCGATGATTATTACAAGCAGCTACTATCATCCATGCCTGACTAATTTTATGGAAGTTACTGACGACAATCAATATACCTGATAGCCTTTCTGAAGGTGAATTATTTTGCCTATTTACAAACGATGAAATAGTAACTATTTGTCAATGAGACAAATAAATATGGAGTCAGGTGAAAGAAAGAACAAACAAACACTAGTGTCTTGTATGTAAACACAAGGAAACATGTCACTTTTTTGACAAAATGAAATCCTTAACAATTTTGCTTTTTACTGCACACCCAGAACTCCACAGGGTGTAATAAATGTTAAAGTACATTGAATTAGTTATGTATTTTTTTAATGTATTTGTTTTTTATTTCATGTTTCAATTTTTTGTTTTCAACCTCAAAACATTCATGCAAAACGTAATACATTATATCCAAATATTATTCATTCATTCTTTTATTAGTGTACAAAAATCAAATTCTATACACACAATACAAATTAAGTTATAACAATTTTAAAACAGTAGGGGTTCATGTTTGGGCACCCTCAAAAAAAATGCAGTGGCAGAAGGGAACAATTCTTGAAAGAAATTAGTGTGGTAAAGATTAAAAACAATATTAAGATTTCAACATGCGTCAGCTCGTTGCCAAAAAATTCTAGTACCATAAAAATGTAATTTTATACCTTTTTATTTTCATTATTGATTGTCATTTTTCTAAAAAAAATAAAATTTTGATATATTTCTGGTAACAATTTTTTTTTTTTTGATAGAAATGTATTTTTATACTTTCCTGGTGCTTTGATTTTTAACTTGGGGTTCAATATTTGCCCAGAGATAGGACCCTAACAGATGCTACCACACCAAGTCGGGATGAGCCTCAGGATAAGAGCAAGAGGTGGTTAAATGATCCTCAAAACCTCCAATCACCTAACCAAAGGACTTGCTGCTGGATGTAGTTTATCATCATGCCCAGGACAATAGGCATGAAGGTTAAACATTGCCATAATTTTTCTTTCTTTCTTTTTTTTTTTTTTTTTAATTATTTCACCACAAGCAAGGCAATAAAGCCACTAAGATACAAGGGGTTACTACGTGTTAGAGAGTATGAGAAAATATACTATTAGGGAGAGAGGACCATAAGAAAATGAGAATTAAGAAGGCAATGATTGACATTGCATTCAAATTTTTGAAGGTTAAAGTTGTCTGGAAAATAAGCTGCTGGAAGAGAGTTCCACAAGCAAGAAGTGTGAGAGAAGAAACTGTTAGCATAGAACTTGCAGTTACATGTAGACATTTCAGCTGTAAAATGATGAGACCATGCTTCCAATCTAGTACTGTGCTTATATTCATAAAGTAAAGTACTATAGATGAATGTTCATAGAGAACAATTACCATGAAAGTATTTATAGAAAAGGTACAGGGAAACTACGTTACATGGGAGGGAAAGTGACTGACACAGAGATGCAAGGTCAGGACCAATAATATTGCAGATTTTTTTTTGAATTTTATCAAGAACCTCTAAATATATAGCAGAAGAAGCAAACAAGATGTGGCAGCAATATTCAAAGCAAGTGACTGAAGCCAAGACCTGAGATCAGGATCAATAATATGGCAGATTCTTTGGATTTTTTGAAGAATCTCTAAATATATAGCAGAAGCAGCAATATTCAAAACAAGTGCCTGAAACCGAGATGTGAGATCAGGACCAATAATATTGCAGATTCTTTTTTTGGATTTTATCAAGAATTTCTAAATACATAGCAGAAGCAACAGACAAGATGTGGCAGTAATATTCAAAGCAAGGGAAAATGGTAGACTTATAAATATGCAAGAGGGATTCTAGCAAGAAAAATTCTTTACCATGACACAATGAACCAACTTTCCTAGATGCAGACTTAGCAAATGATTCAATATAATCTTTTCACTTGCATTAGTTCCTGACCACCAACAATCCCTTGAAGAGAAAAAAAAAACCCAAAGAAAGAAGCAGGTTGTGACATTACCTTTTCTTCCAGCACATTCTATATCAAAGCTCATGATCCTTAGTGGCGCTACTTTGGACCATTCTCCCTTTATTTATGTGAAATGAAATCTTCCCAGGAAATGTCTACTTCCAGTTGACAATGGGACTGCATCAGGGGAGAAGACCAACTGACCTTACTACCACTGGTTGTCTCTTTCCGACGAATATGGTATTTCCCTTTGGGTAATTCAATCCAGTTGCAACCCACCACGTCACTATCAACCATAAACCTAGAGAAATTTACAAAGAAAAGAAATTGCCAATGGCTCCATTACAAGTTGTTGCTGTTTAAGAACACCAATCCACAGTGATCAAAATTCTTTACCATATTTTCTTATGTAATAAAAGAAAATTTCAAACAAAAATTAAAGACAAAATAGTGTGTGTGTGTGGGGGGGGGTACATGTTTATTTACACCATCATATTATTTATTGGATCGGTTGGCAAGACATTGACCAATTGCCAATTGATTCAAAGAGTAAACAATAAGGATTTACTAATAGATGGTTTACATATTTTGACAATTTAGTAAATGTTTATGAAAAAAAAAAAAAAAACGTTTTCACATTTACCGTAATTCCCCATGTATAATATGCATTTTTTTCTAAAAAAAAAAAAATAAGCAAAATCAGGGGTGCGTATTATGCACAGCTACAAAAAAAAAAAATCTTTAAAAAATTGCTGTTTCATAGGTTGATTTCAGTTGCAAAATTACTACTCAGCACAAACATACAACAATTTGACCCTAACATTCAGAGATTGCAACCCCATAAGGATGTCAAATACAATCATATGTACATAATAATACTTACGAATGTAAAATAAAATAAAAATTATCATAAAACTAAATTAGAATAATATTATTCTATGTTTAAAACCATTTTTTTTTTAAATAAGAGTAGGAAACGCTGGCCACAATGAAATTGGTGAGGTACAGTTTATAGGGTTTGATTACCAAACAAGGGGTGCGTATTATGCGTGAGTAGAAGCATTTTCCCCACGCGTTCAGCACAATTTTATGTGTGTGTATTGTGGATAAAGGCATATTATACATGGGGAATTGTGGTGTTTCTTTATAAATTGGTAAACAATGAATATTGCATAGCATTAGTTTTAATTGTATTAGATTTTAGAATGTTATAAAAATAAAATTATTTTTGTAAACAACAAGAAAACCAATCCACAGTCTTCAAAATTCTTCATATCTTCTTCTGTATAATACAAGAAATTCTAAACCAAAATTAAAAGCATAAAAAGTGGGTTGTATTATACACAAGTAATTTTCAGAAATTTTAGTTTTTCTCTATTTTTTTTTTCCTGCTTCAATCAGTCTTCAAAATTCTTTACTGTATTTTCTATTAATATTTACATCACCTTTGTCGCCATATTTATTACGTTTCGGCCATTGTACGCTCCAGCCTTCTTCAGGTGGTTGGAATGTCGACCTGAACATCTGTCTATTTCTGAGATGAGGTATTATGTACACTATTTAGATTATTTGGACTACTGGCCTCATCATTGTCACCATATTTATGACAACGTTTCGGCCGTTGTACGCTCCGGCCTTCTTCAGATGGTTGGAATGTCAAACTGAACCCTTTATTTCGCTCACTGGGGTAGACTGTTCTAGTTCCACATGCCATGTTTAATGGATGTCAGTTATCAGTTATCTCCCGTTGTTTAGATCCAGTGACAAGACCCAAAGAGTGTGAGTTCAATACCCTGTTAAGGCAGTGGAGAACTTGGAGGGGGGAATTAACAGGAGATAACTGACTTTGAATCTGCGGTTATCTCCCTTTAACCCTCTCACTGTATTTTACTTTTAAATGTACCTTTTGTCACATAAAATTTGGCGAGGTATGAGCAAATTTTTATTCCAAACACGCAGCCCAGAGAAAAATCATTTGGGAACCACTGAGTTAGAAGATGATTATAGAGAGACGGATGTACAACATATACAACACAGGACTTTAGTAATAGTGGAGTAGTACACATTATTTGCAAGGTTTGTTAAAAAAAAATGTTAAAGTAGAGAGAGAGTGGGGTGGTGGTGGCTTGATTTGTTTTTTGGCATATCAACATCTCAATGGGTTATTTAATGCTGACAATTTTTATTTCTGGTAATATTTTCTTAAAAAAAAATTGCTGGTAATATCTTTTGTTTTCCAAAATGTATTAATGGTAATAATGTATTGCTGGTAATAATTTTTTTTACAAAGTATTTCTGGTATTAAAACCCATTTTTAAATTTTCACAGTGTTTTAACCCCAGTTTGTGGGGTTAACTATTTGCCCATAGCTGGAATCGGTATCTAGCCACCCACCCACGAGGGTTGCATGTGGCACAAGGCCGAGTTTATCGTGGGTTTTCCGAGCCCGTAGGCTCAGCCAAAAAAATGCCCGTATAACCGAGATCGGGTTGGTCATTTTCCCCCGAACAAGATTCTGCCCTTCGGCGGAACTTTGTCCGGGTTCCTTTCTGCTCAAAAGCAGAGAGTTCGACCGTCAAGTCGAGAAGCTCGGAACTCTAACAGGTGCTACCAGGCCAGGTTAGAGTGGACCTGGGAACACCAGCAATTAAGAGATGGTTCCACGCTCCTAATAACCTCCTGATCAGAAGCCTTGCTGTCGGATGTAGTTTATCGTCTTATCCTGGATGTGGATGTAGTTTATCGTCATATCCAGGACACAAGCATTTGGGGGAGGGGGGGGATATATTGATAAGTAGTCTGTTAGTAAATCTTACCTGATTTCAAAATCAATGTTACTCTCATAAGTCTGGTAGCCTTGTACCGCGTATCCAGGACATAAAAAGCCTTGTTCCAGCAGCCGTTTTGCAGGTGCAATCAACCTTTGTAATGCAACTGTTATTTTTAAAAACATCTGTTTTCGGTTTTGATGAAAACCGTAAATACCTGAAAAAAAAAAAAAAAAAAAAAAAAAAAAAAGTACAAGATTGTAAGATTTGCAAGAGTTTAATAGCACACTGATTCCTATATAGGAGGCACAGTGGAATAATTGAGGATTGAGGAATCTGAGAGCCGAGTTCAAATTCCAGTCAGATCCATTACATTCAATTATGTGCTAATACCCTTGAAAAAGGTATAAATTTTTCTTCTCCCACAAGCTATGGGTAAATAGCAGGACAGACAGAGATCTATAGCCTTGGGTGGCAACCAGCTTACTAGAAAGTAACTCTGAATTAAAATATAATGAAAGTAAGTAAGGAGAAAGTAACTCTGAATTAAAATATCGCTGTATAATGTGCAGAGCACATTATACAGCTAAAGAAAGGATTGTTCACACTGGCTCAATGATCCCAACTACATTTGAATGATAATAATAATAATAATAATGGTCATCCATTTTTATGTGGGGTAGACATACGGAGAGTGTCAAGTGGGTTAATTTAATGGTATATCAACATGTCTTCTATATTTTCAGGACATGAGCGATAATGACTCTTTACAACTTCTTTTTTTTTTTTATAGCTCTTAGCAATGTTTGTCTTTTTACTGTCCTTCTCCATCTTTGTTACACAAGCTTATTGGGCAAGTTATTTGCTGTTTGTTTAGGCACCTTTTGCCTCCAATGTCATGTGAGTGTCATTCTCCTAGCTTTCTTTCCCCATTATGTGTGCAGGAAATTTCAAGTTTTCTTCACACAAAGCACAAGTGCCCCCCACCCCTTAAAATTTCTTTGTTACTCACATTTTCAGCCAATGTTATTCTCAGCATCCTTCTGTAGAGCCACATTTCTACCGTCTTTTATATCTGTGAAGCGGTTGCCCAGCATTCACTGCCATATAGGAGGATTGATATTACATGGTAGTTAAGAATTATTCGCTTTATGATTTTCTTATTTCTTCATACTTTGTTTAGGTTTTGGAAGGCATCTTTCATTATTTCAACATGTCTTCAGATTTCTGTCATATATTGTAAATATATATGGAGTGCTGACCACAAAAGTGCAAAATGCACTAACTGAATTATAGACATTGGCTGTCTTCTATATGCCATGATCCTTCTGAATGTGTGCAATCATGGCTCTACACAACATCCTGACCCTTAAAGCTCTTAGCAATGTTTGACTTTTTACTAATCTCCCCTAATCTCAGTTCTGACAACCATTTATACAAACTCATTAGGTAGGCTATTCACTTCTCTTCTCTCTTCCCCTTGCCTTCAACAGGTCATGTGAGTGTCAAATTTTCCAAAACATCTTTCCGCATTATATATGCCCTAGAAATTTCAACTTTTTTTTGATCTTAAGTGTGAGTGTCCTTTTTGTTTTCAAAAGTTTCTCTTGACAAGTTTCACCATCAAAAGTTTTTAAATGTAATGTCAATTGTTATCTCCTTAATTCTTGTTCTTTTATTATCCTGTTTTCTTTTATCCTCATATGTTCTAACACTAAGGAACCCCTTGCATCTTAGTGGCTTTATTACCTTGCCTGTGTTGAAATAAGAAAAAAAAATTTTTTATTAAAGCTTTATTGTTGTTCATGTGTTCAGTCCCTGGCATTCTCAGGATCCTTCTGTAGAACAATATCTATGTTGCCTGAAGCCTCTTCATCTGTGAGGGAATTGTTCAACATTCACTCTCATATAGAAGAATTGGATATTACATAGTAGCTCAGATATTTTCTTGTTTCTTAATATTCTGTTTAACTTTTGGAAGGCATCTTTCAATATTCCAACATGCCTTCAGATTTCTGTCATGGATTCTGTCGTCTGTTACTACATATTCATATTATAAAAAAATCAAGTGTCCTTTTTGTTTCCATTTTCACTAAAACTTTCTCATTGTTCACGTGTTTTGACCTTGGTATTCATTCTCAGTATCTTTCTGTAGAATCATTTCTATTGCTTCAAGCCTCCTCGTAAATTGCTCAACATTGTCATATGGGAGGACTGATGTTATATAGCAGTTCAGCACTCTTTCCCTTTGTTTTTAACAAAATTTTCCTGTTTCTTAACCATTACCATGCTAGAGGCAAAAATTGTCGCTGTAGAATTCTCTCCCTTTGCTGCTCTAGGCGCATTATGTCACCTTGAGACGGTTGCTATAAATAAAAACTTGTCAACTGTTATTTCCGATATTTTAAGCTGGAAATCAACTGCTTTGGAATGAGGCTAAACTTCCGTTTTCCAACACCATTTTGAATTCTTCTAAATTCTACGCAAGGTGTAACATCAATTAAACCCATGTTAATGTTTGCACGATTTTTAGTAAACAATGCATCAACATCCAACAAAGTCTTTATTCGGGAGTTTTTTTTGGGGAATTTGGATTCCAATGATGATTCTTGAAGGCTTTACTCAAGTGGATATTGACAGTGAAATGGTCGAAGAAAGTGATGATGACCGCTAGATGACCACTAGCAGCTACTATCAGGGCTGACTAATTTTAAGGAAGCTAACTGGTAACCATCAATGTACCTGATAGCATTTTTGACGGTGAATTATTTTATCTATTTATAAACAACGAAATAACTTTATTTGTCAACAAGACAAATAAATATGCTAGTCAGGTGAAAGAAAGACCAAACAAATGCAGGTATCTTCTCGTAAGCGAACACGAGAAAGCACGTCACTTTTCTGACAAAATGAAAGCCTTCTTAGCCATTTTGCTTCTTGCTGCACTCCAGAACTTCACAAGGAGTAATAAATTTGAAGTATGTTAATTTTTTAATGTATTTGTTTTTTTTATTTTGTGTTTCAATTTTTTGGTTTTGGATGTCAAAACATGCATGCAAAATGTAATGACACCAATCAACAATGAATTAACAAAAGGTTTGAAAAAAAAAAAAAAAAAAAAAAAAAAATCAGTTTTTTTTCTTTCTGTGTGCTACAAAGGAGTTTATATAACCATATAAATATTTACAATACTTCCTCTATTAGCTAAACTTCCATTATCCAGATGCCAACAAATGACCATGGAGGGTAACATTTCCCGATTGATGAGACACAACTCATTCTGTAGTTTTACTTTTCAACAAGTCTCCAGTCGAGTTTTGTTATACTTTGATTTAAGGTCTGAAATTAAAATACCTTGCAATTTGAATGTTAAAAACCAAACAAAAAAAGGGTTGCATTGTCTGTTGAGGATATATGAAAAGATGAGAATGATATTGCCCAGGTGAAAGTTCAACAGCCCCAATTCCCAATTTCAAACACTGAAGTGGCAAGTTTGACAAATGTATAAGTTGGCTGCACTTTCAACCAGACCAGGTGTTGCAGCAATATTCAAGGCATGAACATTAATTACTTCACAGACACACACAATAAAAAAAAAAAAAAAAAAAAAAAAAACAACCTAACTACCTCAGCCACAAAGCACACCAAATATTTACAAATGGAAATAGAACTTACTTTCTTTTTGTGTGGCTTCCACTGCAAGAATTGCTTCTTTTATATCTTCTTTGTTGGAACGCATGTCTTTGAGCACAACTTGATTCAGGGCTTCCTGGAAACAAAACAGCAAGAAAAAAGGGTGACAATACATAATAAAAAAAAAAAAAAAAAAAAAAAATTATGCCAGGTTTGTTACATTTTCGGGGGGATCATCTCAAGAAGTACAAACTCAATACGATCAAAGACCAAATGGCATCTTCCAAAATTCAGAGACGTTATCCATCTCCAAACAACTGAAATGATTCTAGATTGCTTTTGATGATATCTGTCTACATAACTGAGATAAGGTATTATGAGTACTTGCATTATTTACATTACTTGGACAGTTATCCTAATCTTCATTGTGATACGCTCCTCTGCCTGATTGGAATTTTGAACCAAACCCTTTATTTCGTCCACCGTGCCTCTTCCAGGTCTCAGTTATTTCCCTTTAACTCAGCTCTCCAAATTTTGGTTCAACACTGCTGTGGCCTGGTACTGAATTCTAGTCACTGGATCTAACAAACATCTTTATCCACTGGGCTATGAGGACATGTGTTTGAATTTTGAGGACTTCTAAACCTAATGTCTCATCAACTATTTTTTTTTTACCAGTGCTTTTGATGTTATCAATTCTTATAAGTAACAATGACCTATATAGTGCTGTGCAAAAGTAAGTGAACCCCTAAGCTAATAATTTTTAAAAATGGTCATTTTTTTTTCCTTCCCAGGTGATCAACAAATCTTAAATAAACTATATATTCATTAGGGAAAAAAAAAAAGACAAAAAAAAGACAAAAAAAAGACAAAAAGAAAAAAAAGACAAAAAGAAAAAAAAGACAAAAAGAAAAAAAAGACAAAAAGAAAAAAAAGACAAAAAGAAAAAAAAGACAAAAAGAAAAAAAAGACAAAAAGAAAAAAAAGACAAAAAGAAAAAAAAGACAAAAAGAAAAAAAAAAAAAAAAAAAAAAAAAGACAAAAAGAAAAAAAAGACAAAAAAAAAAAAAAAAGAAAAAAAAAAAAAAAAAAAAAAAAAAAAGACAAAAAAAAAAAAAGACAAAAAAAAAAAAAAAAAAACAAAAAAAAAAAGAAAAAAAGAAAAAAAAGAAAAAAAAAAAAGACAAAAAGAAAAAAAAAGAAAAAAAAAAAAAAAAAAAGAAAAAAAGAAAAAAAAAAAAAAAAAAAAAAAAAAAAAAAAAAAAAAAAAAAAAAAAAAAAAAAAAAAAAAAAAAAAAGGACAAAAAAAAAAAAAAACAAAAAAAAAAAAAAAAAAAAAAAAAAAAAAAAAAAAAAAAAAAAAAAGACAAAAAAAAAAAAAGACAGACAAAAAAGAACCTTCGTTAAATCAATTACAACCAATTCCATTTTTTTTTTTTTTATCAAGCACTGAAAAAGCTAACTCTCTCTCTTTGGATATTCTCTTTAAACTTTTCTATCCAATTCACCCCCATACTAAATTTAATGGGAAAGGTCTGGAGGTTGTGGCATCAAGTCATAATTTCCAATATTTTTTTTTTTTTACTTGAGGCAATTGATATAATTTAGAAGTGTTTTGGATTGTTGTCTTGCTGAAAAGTGTATTTTTTCCAGATGGTATCATATGTCTTTGCAAAATAGAATAACATTGTTCTTTTTTTTTTTTTCATGATTCGCTTGACCTGAATCAAATCTCCATCCCTCCCACCCACAAAACACTCCCACACAATGCTTAACTACTGGAACCACACATTCCAACATTCGGTCTTTCTCCTGGCTTTCTTCTCACATAAGACTTTCTTCTTACTACCAAAATGTTCGAATTTTGGAGTTGTCTGTCCACAATAGATTTTGCCACTTTTTCAATGTTCAGTTTAAATTCCAGTCGGGTTCGTTACATTCACTTACTCAGAACTAACGTTGCGAAAGGTATGAATCCATTTGTTCTCCTCCCAGCTATGGGTTGAACAGCCGGTACAGACTGTGTTCTTTAGCCTTCATTGGCAACCAGTGTATCGCAGAAAGAAATGGCAACCTTTAGAGAATTAAGCTTTTTCTTGAAAAGAGAAATCTTTATTCTTTATCTCGGTCTGTCCATCATTATATTCATTAACCCTTTCTTTCCATTTACCAGTGCCAAATAGTGACACATCTGTTTTTATTCTCACATACAATCTCCTCTTACTATGAAACAGTTCAAGCTTAGACCCGTCTGTCCGCAATACATTTTTCCACTTTCAATGTCCAGTACTTATGCATAACAAGGGTTTCTTGATGGCTATGCACCTGAGCTCCATTGATATTTTTTTGGAAAAAAAATCAATCAAGTTTCTTTTAAAGGTTATATGAAACTAAATACGTCCCACAAAAGGGAGGTAGGGGCAAATATTTGAACAGTCCAGTATAGAGATCTCACTTCTGAGAAGGTAAGCAATCAATATTATGATGCTGCAGACTAATTTACATCAATTTTAACAGGTTCCTGGTTAAGTACTACTGTAACTTTTCAATTTATTAAAATAATAGCCAATGTGGGTTAATTTATAGCTCATACTGAGACAGTACAACACCAGCTACATCTGCCATGTGTTGATTTTCTTGACCTGACAGGGTTTGAATTAAAGATTTCTTTTTTTAGAAATATAGGGTTCAAACAAACCTATGAGTTAAGTAAAGAAATGTATTCAGTAAGTGTATATTTATTTTCAAACCACTGGGCAAAGTCTGTGTATTTGAAGGAAACATTTCTTAGGCGGTTACGTGAAAATCAAAGGGAGGTAATTTGAGAAAATATAATTATTCATAGTACAACCAGATTTAACCAATAACTTTCAATATATTTTTTCTTAAGATCTACATTCTTTCATTTGAATTTTTATTGCTGCTGAATATTTTTAGACATTTAATTTTTTTCTCTTTTTCAACAGGCAAAGTAAACCCACAAGCCACATTATTAAATCTAAGATAAAAAAAAATAACTATTACTTTTAACTAGAGACATCCTCAAAAAAATAATATACCTAAAGTTTAAGAGGAATTTTTAAAAATGAAAAATCTTTCTTGAAGCTTTTAGTTTTAATCTCAAGCTACAATAAGCAAAATACTTTGCTGTATTTCAAAAACTAATTTAAATTGACCAGAAAGAATTCCTTCATTTTTTAATTTTACAAAAATAGCTAATTAGCACCCCTTTTTTAGTAGTCCTTCATTGCAACGTAATTCTCTTTATTAAAAAATTTTCCAAAAATAAAATATACTTTTCTAAAATTATGAGGAATATTAGCTGATTTAAAGTATAATTAATCTGATGTGAAATAAATATTATTTACTTTAAGGTTAAAATATCGCATAAATGCATTTTGTAACCCAACAACAGCTGTGCCGATGTTTTTGACAACATAATGACAGCTAATTATGTTCTACGGAGAATTTATCTACAAGACATAGTTGAAGAAAATGGTGCGAGCAACCTCTTTATATAATCTTTAAGTATTCAGAAATCTTAAAAATTTAGGAAAATATTCACCATAATCTAATGTTTTATTGAATTTTAGAAATTTCAGATTTAAATTTACTGTAGCTATCACTATTATTTTCTTGTAATGTTGCATATGATCATCTGTACTTACAAAAATTAACATGTTTATAAACCAATAAAAAAAATTCAAAATTATTATAAAAATATTGGTGTTTGATGATTTGTATTAAGCTTTTCCACTATGATTAGTAAATATAGTTTTCATTTAATATCTGAATGGTTGAAATTAATACAGAATTTTAAGATTTAAAACTTGAGTTTTTCTAATTAAATTTTTAAAAAAATGAAAACTCTTGTAAAAATTCATTATTCAATGAAAAAAAAAAAAAAAAAAAATTTTTTAGGACAATAGGTATCTTTAATATATTTATTTATAAAAGCAATTAAAAGTTTTTCTAATTAAATGTCATACTTTTATTGCTTTTTTTATTTTAAGATTCAGAGCAGATTTTCAGTAAATGGGGTTTCCATTTGACAAAAACAAATTGATGATTTAAATTCTCCAAGGAGTCCTGCTTTTAACTAATATAAATATGAAAAGGCTGAAATTTTAATTTCTTAAAAATTTCATAAAATTTAGTAAGTTTTTAAAAATTTGATAGATGTAAAAAAAAAAAAAAAAAAAAGATTTTTTTAAATTTCAAAAGTTAAAATAATTTCATTCATTTTTTGAAAAGTTTTAATTAAAATCTGAACAATTATTTGATTTTTGCAAAATTTCCAAAAAAATGTTTTTTTTTTAATTTAAAATTTTTAAATTTCCTTTTAGTAATTTTTTTTTTTTAGGAAATTTTTTAAGAAAAACAAGATTTTTAACCAAAAAATTTTCAAACAAAATATTAAAAAAAATTAAAAAAATTTAACAAAAGGGAATCAAAAATTAAAAAGAAATAAATTTTTAATAATTTATGTTTTACATTTTGACGATTTATTTTTATATTACACATTTTTTTTTTTTTTTTTAATTTTAATTTTATTTAGGTATATTCAATGCAGGAATATACTTATTTTATATAAATGAATATTATATGTCCATATAAATTCATTCAATTTCTCATTTTAAATTTCAAATTGTTTTAATTCTGTCTCATATTATAAAAATAAATATTTTATTAAAATTGTTTGAAGTTCATCTTTTTTTGATCTAAAAATAATGTAAAAAAAATTTTTTGTTAATTTTAATGCCCCAAAAATTTAATAAAATTCATTAAATATGGCCTCTTTTTCAAATTCTGGTTGGGTGTTTCTTTAATTTTATTTTTTAATAAAATTTAAATTTTTTTTAGTATTATTAAAAAGATTTTATTTTTTGAATTCAATCAATATTTTTGCCTTTTGTAATATAAATCCTAAATTTTTTTTTTATTAAATTTTCAATGTTAAATATTCTTTTTAATTTTTTTTTTAAAAATAAAAGAATTTTTTTTAAATTTTTTTTTTCTAATGCATTAAAAAATTGGCAGCTAGGTTTCATCATTTTTTTTTGAAATTTAGATGCAACTAAAACTATGAAATATTATTTTTTTTCG